GTGTGCGCAACTCTAGCTGCACGTGAAACATTCGATTAGGGAATGTTTGCATATAGATAGTAGATCGATATCCAGATGAGACGGGATACTAAAGAAGAGTTGCCGAATGGCGGTGTTGATCCAAAGCGCTGTGCGCAGATCTTGCGCGCAGTTCCGCGGCAAGGCGCACGCGACCGCGGGAACGTCCTACGACAGTATGCAGCGCTGGCAGCTATGGATCCATGCGCCAAATGCATAGGCCGACGCACGAATCCATAGCTGCCAGCGAACAGTCCGCAATTTTAGTGGGGGACACAGAGGGCAGACATTTGGGACGTGAACAATGTTCACTTGTTATAAAAACATAATGTCTCTGTTCGTAACCGAGCTGTGTCACGGCAAAATCACAGAAAGACAGACGAAATCCTCACGTTCGCGAACCTTGCCCAGTAATGAAAATGGCTGCAAGGAAAAAGGCTATATAGCCAAGCCGAGAGGTGGGAGTGAGTGCCAGTGTATGGGCTATAGGCGGCGCGCAGGCGACGCATTGCTTTCCAACTCCGGTACGAGCCTCACCATTGCAACGTTGCAGCGTTGTGGCGCAAGAATGAGGTCACGAAAAGCGCCGGTAGGCGTTTCCTGATTCTGACAGCCATTTCCATTACTGGGCAAGGTTCATGAACGCGAGAATTTCGTCAGTCTTTCTGTGATTTCGCGTGACACAGCTCGGTTACGAACAGAGACATTATGTTTTTATAACAAGTGAACACTGTTCTTGAAGGAGAAACAAAGATGGAAGCTGTTGGATGTGTATTCGTGCTGTGAAAGTGTCAAATCAAGCGAGCGTCGAGCGAATTTTGGCAGCATGCTTTCCTACCTGCTATATATATATTACTGTAAGCGTGCAACAGTCGCGCCGCGAAAGCAATGGAAGCCGGCAGCGTATGTTGGACGTAGGATTTCGACGGAATTTACAGGAAACTGTCGGAAATAATAGGTGAAAGAGAGTAGGCCTATAGAAACATGAAGAAATTGGTAGTAAATAGATTTCGTATTTAGTTAGCATTATATTTTATAGAAACGCTTCAAGTGCGTGTGTCTAGTATAGGGGTATTCTAACCCTAGCAAAAAGCGTTTCTCGGAGCTAGTAGAAGTAGTAGCACTATACTATATAGTATTAGTACTAGTAGTACTAGTAGTACTCGGAGCAGTACCGGCAGCCTAACCACATGAGACTTTCCGTCAACGTTATAGAGTCTGGGTATTCATTTTTGTTTGGCTATTATATTACACGCTTCTAAGAACGTTCACATCAAAACGTTATAAATAAAAGTTTTATATGAGGTTCTTGCAAAAACGTTTGCCAGAACAAACGTTGTGTCTAGACGAGCATTTTAAGCGTTATCTGTTTACTGTTGGCGAAATGGTTTACCTACTAAACCTTAAGCTATAACACGTTGCACTGAACACAGGCTAGAGCCAGGGGCGGTCGGGGAGTTCGAACGATCACCCCCCCGCCCAAGCAAAAAAAAATAATTTTGAAAATTTGTAAAGCAATTTCACCTCAGGTCGCTCCATTTTATGTAATTAATTGCAAAAATCTTCCATCGTGCGGGAGGGTGGAGACAGTGAACCACCCCTCTCGCGCACACCCTCCCCATGCTCGGTCGCTTGGCTCCCGCCGCCTGGTCAGCTTCGCGCCCTGGAGCAGGGGCATTGTATCAGGGGGGGGTCCAGGGAGTCCGGACCCCCCTTTGCTCGCGCAGAAAAACCCATCTGCGAGGGGAATCTAAATTTAAAATAAAATTCTGTGGAAGGGCCCCCCCAGATCTCCTGCCTGCGCGTGCTCGCAAACTTGGCTTACAGTGTAGACGCCCCCCCCGCTCCGGTACACAAATCGCTGTACGACGAACCTGCAACAGCAAATTGCGCAGACATTGAAAAACGACCCCACCCCAATAAAAGCTGGCCTTACTGGGCCGGCAATAACGCAGCTTATTTAACGTTTTTATACAGTTAGCCGAAAATGGTTAGAAACAAACGTGTATCTGCACACCCACCATACTTACAAACGCAGTACTGCACTCTTACCAGAGGTTTCGCAGGGGTAAAAAAATACGTTATTATATACATCTAGTCCAACTCATGAACAAACGTTAGCCATGAACGTTGAACTAAACTCGTTTAGTTTAATGGTTTTATATGGTTAGAAACAAACGGTAAGCTCACAGCCAACTACAGTAACTACGTTAATGGCTAATGTTTAATATTTTCAATCCCANCCTGAAACATCGTTTAGACGCAAAAATTAACACCTTCTGTTGTGTAAGAGCCACTACTTCCGCATACAAGGAAATTCTTGAGGATTTCTTACTACTTTGGACGGCGTGACAACGTTGCCCTAGTATAGTTGGCCTTGCTGGTAATGGATCTGGAGGATGGTACGTAATGATGTTTTATTTTATATTTGTAAGTCCAGGTCGACCCTCAAGGTAACCTTCGGAAAAAAACCCAGGCTGACATGATTTCACAACACTTCTAACAATTTCCTGGTCTCAGTAGCCACTTGTATACTACTCACTAATCTGATGACTTTACGACATGACTAAACGAGAGTTCTATTCTTTATGACCCCGGCTCACCCAACTACGTCAACAATACGAAAATTCTCGTCCCTTGAAAAACTACTCATTTGTCCCGCTGTAAATTCCAGTGTCCTTTCAAATCTTGACTTTTCCATTTTCCAACAGCTTTTTCTTTGCATTTCCCATAGTCCCTTTCAGCAACCTCAATCTTCTCAGTGGCGGTCTCTCTACTCGTCATCTGTTCCGAACTAGAAGTAACCCTATCATGGACCTTTGACAAGTGCATTATCGGCTGATATGACCCCACCATCGGTATTCATCATCAGCTAAATTCTAGGTGTCATTAATTCTGCTTGACCAAAAATCCAAGTTGCTTTCCGTGTCAATCCCAGTAGGTAGGTATATTCTCAGTGCCCCTCACGCAAACCAGTTTCAGTTCGTTCAGACCTAACTGATTGATTCCACCCACGAGAGTTTTCCAGTCGTTTTCTTACAGATTTCCATGTTCAGTGTCTCGTATCTGTTCGTGTCGCCATCTATCGGTGGGCGAAGTGCAACGTAACTGTCACTCGTTTTAGGTCGCCGTGCGGTGGTTTTGCACGACGATTAACGATTAATTACATGTAATTAACAGTTCAGACATGGTTCATTCAATTAGTTGATCGCTCGTAATTCCGGTGTCACTCACCCGTTGACCTTCTAAACATAGTTTTCCGGTGCAAACTGCGACTACAACTTCCGAAAAATCAAGATGGCAGCCTCCTCGCTAACTATGACGGATAACGGACAGCGGGTTTGTCAAGCTGTTCTGTCTTTTCACACACCTATTTCTTCCTAATGCTGACACAATTATCTCGGTAGAACCTCCAGAATGTTACGCCCGTTCATCACGTAAGTAGACAGCATTAAATAACAGCGGACAGGCGCTAAATTGACGACCCAGCAGCAGGACAAACCAACGAGAACGCCATCTTTCCTAGGAGAGAACCACGCATGCGCGCCGTTTAATACCAACATAAAATACATAGATCGTACATTTCGTACATTAGGAATCGTATAATAGAAATCACATCTTCTCCACAGATGCTGATAAAGTGGCCCTCATCTCATACGTAACAATACACACGTCTTCAGCTTGTACTGTCGCTAGCCGATCACAGCCGGTGAACGAGAGAATGATAAATTTAGAAGAATTATGTCGGTTTTTGGTCATTTTGTGAATCGTACAGGGACCGCGTGAAGTCATAAGCACTTCAGCAAACATCACCGTCTTGCTATGCGCATGTGGGTCTAATGATTAGCTCTTCATTTAGTTGTTTGCAAATGTTGTTATCCGATATAGACAATAATTTGAATTGTTCCTCATCAATAAGACATTATAATTAAATACAAACGTTTAATTACAAATTAATTAATAACTAGAAAGGGCAGTTGTCGCCAACTACATGTATCCCCCGTGTTCTCCCCAAGATGTGTAAGTATACGAAGTTTGGTCGCGCTAGGTCAATTAGGGACAGAGTTATAGAGCGGAAGGGAAATATGATGAAGGTCAAGGTCAAGGTCAAGGTCAAATAAAGGTTGCAGTGACCTGGTTTTGGTACGCGACACACCTTCTCCACAAGAAGTGTAAGTATACCA